ATAAATAAATAAATAAATAATTTTTAAATAAATGAAAAATAAATGAACTCTTTTTTAGAACTTTGCGAAAAAAGTAAATGAACTCTGTTCTTAGATTAGTTTTTGTTTTATTTTGTTTTTTTGTTTTAGTTTTTGAGTATCTTTTAAATGTTTTTGTTTAGTTTTATGTTTTTTGAAGATTTGCGCAAGAAATAAAGAATTTTTTAAGTAAATTTAAGAGAAAAATGGAATGAAATTGAATAATAAATATGAATTTATTTGTTTTTCAAATGAAAGAATGAGGAATTGATTTGTTTTTTAATGAAAGATCAAGAAAATCTCAATGAATAAGTAAATCAATAAGAATTTTATAGATAAGAAAAATTTGAATGAAAAATTATGCACCCTTTTTGAGTAAATTTAGACAATAAGAAAAAATCAATAAATAAATGAATGAGATTGAGCAAATATTTTATGAAAATAAATGAATGAGAATTAAGAAATGTTTTAGATTCAGAAATAAATGAAATAAATAGTTTTATGTAAGGAAATAAATATTTTAGATTGAAAGATAAATGAAATAAATAATTTTATGTAGAGAAATAAATGATATGAATAATTTTATGTAAGAAAATGAATGAAATAAGTAATTGTATATGAGAAAAAAAAATGAATGAATGAAATAAATAATTTTTATACGAGAAAAATTGAATGAAATAAATATTTTTAGGATAGAAAATAAACAACTTGTTTTAGGAGTCAAGAAAAAAAAAGAAATTTTTTCAACTTTTTTGGTTTGAAAAAAGCTATATCTTTAGAGAAATGAGAGCAAACTTTTTTGTAATGATAATTTTAATTTAATTTTTAATTTTTATGTAATTTTAATGTAATTTTATTGAATGACAATAAATAATTTAACAATAATTGTATAAGAAGCGACGCGTTTCGAATTTCTTCAGGCTATGAATGACTATCTATTCTTTCCTTCCTTTCCTCTCTTTGCTCTCGTCTATTGTTCTCTATACTCGTCCAATAAGAAAAATTCCTTTGTTCTATGGGGGTCACTATTCTCATATAGGGGTCATTACTCTCATAGATGTCGTACTATTCTGACTATATCTCTCACAGCTCAATCTCAATGGTGTGGGTGCGGGAAAAGCGAGTTGCTCAAGTAAAGAATAATAAAATACTCAACGACTCAAAACTAACATTCTATACTCAAAAGATTAGAAAAAACTTACTCAACTGGCCACTCAACCCTATCTCAGAGGAGCAGCCTTCTCAACCCTATCACAAAAAATATTACACGTACAAAAATATATAAATATTACAAATAACTTAATAAAAAACAACAAAACAGAACGAAGAACTAAAAACAATATCGGCCAGGTCCTTCGCTGTTATCGTCGATCTTATCGACGACACTAAAAATAGAAAACAAAAAAAGAGGGAAGGGGACATCTATTAACTTATTCTATTCTATTCTCGTTCTAACTCTTCTACTAGTGCCTTAACTGCTGTCTTAGGTGGTTTCTTATGAACTAGTATCTTTTTTAAATTATCCGTTAATCTATGCGCAAAAATAATTGGGATATCGCTAAGTGGGGTTTCTTCAAAGATCTCTTGCCAAATTTGATGAAACTTTGACCCGAAACGTGCTAAACTGGGGGTATACGTGAAGTGGACCATAATATCTCTACTAAAGTTTATCCCGGGTTTCTCTTTTTTGTTCCATCCTTCATCTAAGACTTTTTTTCTATATTCATTATGTCTCTCGCTAAGAAGTAAATTTTTATCCTTTTTTTCAGTTAATGTCTCAAAAAAATCTCTGAAAATGTTTGTCTATAAATTTAGGCGGGTATTTATTCAAAAGTAGGGTTATTCTAACTTTCTCAATCTCTTCTTCTAAATCTTCTCTATGGGAACATATTCTTACTGCTCGTAAAAGTGCTGAGAAGGGAATATTCTTCATTACATGAGGAGGGTGTGCTGAGTTAAACGGTAGGATATAAGGTTGTGCCGCTAACTTTCTATAAACCTTAGTTCTAAAATTGGGAATTTCTACTTCTACTCTTACATCTAAATAATCTACATGTGAGCCTGTCTCAAAAGTTAATCCTATATTCTTATCTTTCTTACCTAATTCAGTTAATATCCTATCTATCTCATCCTTATTCTTCTTACTAGTAATAAAAATATCATCTCTAAATCTAAAATATAACTCTCCTTCCTTATCCTGATCTACCTTAAACTGTTTTTCCCACTTTCTCATATAAACATCTGCTAAGACTTGAGTACACTCTGATCCCATGGGTCCTCCTCTAACTTGCTTATAGTACTTAACTTTCTCACCGGGTAACTGTAGAGCAAAATACGCATTTTCTAATACATGTCTAAAGAGGGTCCTTATCGTATTGATGGGTATCTCTCCATTAACCTTATTTATTCTATTCTCACCTAACATCTCACAAATGGCTAAGATCGATTCTTGTTGGGGTATCATTGTGTATAAATCCGTTATATCGAATGTATATACAAGAGTCTGGTTTGTAGTCTTATGATTTTTTAATTCCTTTAAAAATTCTATACTATTTCTCAAACTATATGGGGTTAATTTATCAAAAATGGGACGAATAATTTGATCTAGAAAAGCCGAGATTTTTTGTGTTGGTGATTTCATCCCCGAAACAATTGGTCTAAGTGGTTCTCCTACCTTATGATCTTTTGGATTATAATAAAGATGGGGTAACTCGGCATCTTTGGGGTCTGGTTTCAATTTTTCAAAATATTTCCCGGGTAATAATTTTCTACTAACTAAATTTCTTAATAATTCTTCTGTTTTTTCTATCATACTAACTAATGGTGATTCTTCGATCTCTTGGTAGGCATCCGTTTTTCTCATATAAGCTATTGACTTCTCTATATATGTCTCAGGCCTATCTACGTGGAATACTTTGGATTTATCCGTTTGTCTGAAAATAATCTTACCCTTTTTTTGTTCCTTTTGAAAATGTTCTAAGGTTTTCTCAACTACTGGGTCTTGTACTCTTCCTTCTTTTATCTTATTCCTTAATTCTTCTTCTAATCTCTGCGCAAATTCTTCTACTTTTTCCGGATTTCTACCTATTGTTCTAGTTTCTCTTCTCCAAGCTTCGGCTACCTTATCTTTCATTACTCTAATCTCTTCTTCTAATCTATCTAAGGCCTGTTTTGGATTCTCAGGTACGAATTTAGGTCCATAATTTAAAATTCTTCTCTCTTCTTCTCCTAAATCTAATACTTTATTATTAACTTGAGGGGGAAATCCTAGTGGGGTATAATGTGAGTGTAAATTCTTAACTTTACTATTCCTTTCTATTGCTCTAGCTATTTTCCTATTATTCTTATTCCCTTTTTCTCTAAAAAATCTAATTTCTTTTGTACTTTTCTATTATTTCTAATTTCTATTACGTGTACTAAATCTCTATATGCTTGCCTTATTTCTACGGGTATCTTCTCCACTAACTCTACATGTTCTTTCTCACTCTTATCTATCTCACTAACTTTTGCTATTCTCATTACTGATGTTAAGTCTAACTTAGTCTTTCTCAAAATATTATTCCATTGCTCACTATACTG